GAATGAAAAGGACAAAGACAAGGAAAGAGACCATGAGGGGAAGGGCTGGTAGGAAGGGATAGAATCCTGACCTGACTCATTGTTAACAGTAGGTTTCCTTGCTATTAGAGGTTCAGGGAGGTTAAATAGATTAGCAAACTTTAAGCTCTTCCTCCACAGTCTTTGTCCTAATGCAAGCTGTGAACTTTTTCTATGGCTCTGTAATCTTGTACCTTATGAACCCACAGCTTTAGAAACTGATATTTATCACAGAAAAAAAAAAGAACTCTCAGAAACTAATCAAGAATCCATGGATGACAAATTGAAGGGCTCTGTACTTTTGGGGAGCTGTTCATACTATTGCAATGACTAAAAACTGGGCAGGGAATAGCAGAAAGAGATGTAGCTTTGCTAGTTGGTAATAAAAAAAGAAGTCCTAAATCCGCATCCACACAATAGCCCATAAAGTACACCCACACCCATTCCAAAACAAAGCATGTAAGAACATTGTCCCCTCCCAAATACATGCATGTTTTTCAGACCTGATGTTGCTTCCTTTCCATACTTTTCTCCTCAGTTCATTTTAGCATGGTTTCATTTAGATAAAAAAAAAATATAAGGTCAAAGAGAGGGGTGGGGAGGAGGGGGACAAGGAGAAAAGGAAAATCAATATACAGTTCTCTGGTCTATACCCATTCAGGGGTTACACCCCTGGTAGGTGTGCAATGTTAAATATAAAATATTAGTGAAAATATTAGAAGATGAGAGTGTAGAATGTTTGAGGTTTGGTATAAAAATCGTACCTAAGATGACAGATTTTAACTTTGAGAATCAGAGGTATCCTCCAATCAGCATTGTTGATGCTGATAACATATGTGAAGTGTTTGGCAAACATTAAAGCTATATAAATGCTAGCTATTATTCTTATTCTTATTACCAGGAAATAGGTAGAGCTGCTGCTAACAAGTCACCCAGAGCATCTACACTGGCTCAAATAGAAGACCATTACACATCCCAGCTATCAAAAATGGGATGAGGACTGAAATATGGAGCAATACACAGTGCTAAAAACATAACCCCTGATCAACTGATACATATTCATTGATGATCTAGTCACGGCTCTCTCTCTAACTAAGCTAGATGACCTTGAGCCAATCACATACTCTCTCTGGGCCTCAGTTTCCATTGGATGACTTCTAAGGTTGTTCCCAGCTCTAAAAATCCATGATTCTAATTGAACCTGAAATGAAGAGGGCACAGTGTCTTGATGCAGATGATTCAAAGGGCTGTGGGAAATATGGGAAGGGCACAAAGTGTGCAGCCCCTAAAAGACAGTCTTCCTTTTTTTTTTTTCCCATGTATTGATTACTCGGTGCTCACCTCATTCAGTAGTAAGAGCAGCAGCAGCAGCAGGTCCCCTCTTCAGGCCTCAAACTGGAAAACCTCCAGTTACCATAGCGGCACAAAAGCAGTCTTTTCTTCTCCCAGCTTCCACCAGTCCCAGCTTCCTCTAGTCCAATCGCAGCTCATAAACCCGGTCTCTGGCATCCTGCATCTCTTAGGCAACAGTGTGTGACTTCTTGATTGGCCATGAAATCTAGGAGGGCTGAAACCTTAACTGGGCAAAGAAGAATGGAAGGGGGAAGTGAACAAACCATGGGTAGTGAGGGTCTGTGAAGCGGGAGATTGCACTCAGGCTATAGATAGAATGAAGGGAGCTAAAAGCTTTCTCTAGCACACTTGCTACCCACTGAGCATACCTAATCTAGTCACATAGAAGTTCCCAAATGAAAATTCCACTTCTCCATGCTTTGAGAGTGGCCAAACAGGAGAAGGTGGGCAGAAATAAAAAGAACAAGCTTCTAATTCAACACAAGCACTGCACCTGTAACAGGAAGTGGTTGGGTTCAAGACTTAAGAAAAGATTTGGGGAGAATTGTCACACACAAAAGCTTCTTAGCTCAGATTTCCTAGGTTTTAGGAGTCAAGCTGACTGATAGATCCCGCAGGAAACCAGCAGATGGCATGCCTTCATAAGAATTGTTTTAAAAGATGGGCTTCTTAAAATCTGGTTACAAAAGTACTGGGGTTCAGAACTACACAAAAGACCTCTCCCAAAGGGATAGGGACTGGACTTAAGATTTCATTGGTAAAGAGAACTCTCTAAGGCTATATATACATTGCAGAGAAGGTGCAGATCTACCTTGGTAGAAGGAGTTTCCTCTTCTCATTAAGGGGCAAGTGTAAAATGGACTAAGGATAGAAGGAAGGAAGGAAGGAAAGAAAGAAGGAAGCAAAGAAGGAAGGAAGGAAAGAAATAAAGAAGGGAAGAAGGAAGGAAGGAAGAGAATAGTTTTTCTTATTCCTTTTCTGTGTATCCTAAAAGAATAGCTCACATTTATACAGTGCTTTAAAGTTTACACACCATTGTCCTCACAACAACCTGAGATAAATAGCGCAATTGTAGCTCCACTTTATAGATGGTGAAACTAAGTTTCAGAGAAGTTAAGAATGTACTGCTCTGTAATTTGTACACATGTATGCAAATATGGACAAGGTAGTAGGGGTGGTATGAAGATGCAACTCAAAATCATGGTGTATCCTAGACTTATGCTAAATGCTACAAAATGGTTCATCCAGCCACTGCTGATGGTATTTGGTGCTTGCTATTCTAATGATACTTATTTCCAGTTACTTGATGTCTGAAGAGTTGAAGGTGGGAAAGGCACATGAAAAAGGAGATACAGAAAGAAAATAGATGGGATCCAGGCCAGAGTGAAGAGATACCCAGAAGAAAGGGTTTATAGCGTAGCTGGAGGACCATGAATAGTTCAGGAGATTGTGTGGTGGGAGAATAGAATGAGTAATGGAATGAGAATGCCAGGATTCTAGAAAGTACCTTAGATGGTACCATCATTTAGCTCCACAACCCCCCTCTTTTTATAGATTAGGAAACTGAAGGCCAAAGGGTAACTTAACTTGCCATGGTCATATAGGCAGCAGAGTCACTATTTCCATCCAGGCCTTTGGACTTCAAATCCAGTGTTCTTTCTACCATGTAGAATCACAAAATTGGAAGAGATTTTGGATGACATGTAGGCTGCATCTAAGTGGATAATCTCCTCTACAACATCCATCTCATAGAACCTCCAATAGTAGAGATATTTATCACTGCTTCTAAGAATCCCTGGCTTCTTTTAAAGTAATACAACCTTTTACACCCTTTCCTGTTCCCTCCCATTGCTGGTGTCTCCCAAATTAATTTATATTTACTACGAATTCATTTTGTATTTACTTATATGTGTATATATTGTTTCCCTGATAGAAGGTACACTCCTTTGGGCAGAGGCTTTCTTAGTATCCCTAGCGCCTATCTCAGTATCCAGATCTTAGCAGGTACTTAATAAATGCTTGATGATCAATATATTGATGGTTGGTTTTTTTCATCAAGTAACTCATTCTATTTTTGGATATTTTTCTTTACATATGCCTAAATCTGGTGCTTTATAACTTAAACTGATTGCTTAATTTCATCCCCTCAAGCTGATCCCTCTTTTATATAATAGTCCTCCAAATAATTTTTTGTTGTTTGTTACCTCACACTGTTAATATGTATTTAGCTTGTAGTTACTGTATTATGATGTTCACCTAGAAAATAAGGTCCCTGCTCGATAAAGAACTACCCATGTAACCCTGGACAAAACTTCACCTAATCTGAGCTTGTTTCCTCATCTGTAAAAGGAGGAGAATGAATTAGATAATCTTTGAGACTTTTCCAGATCTAAAATTCTATTAGTCCATTAACAGCTTCCAACTTGTAGAGAGCTCACTCTGATGCTCCCCGCCCAGGCTTTTAAAACCACAAATTTCCTTTTATAAGAGGGTATTATGCTGTGTCTCCACTGCATCTCCAGTGGAATTCAATTCAATTCAGCAGATACCTGTTTCCTGGAATATGTCACATCTCCCAACATTGTATTGGATCTTGTTTTCCCTATGCCACCCCCCCTTCCCCTTCAAGCCAAGGTTGATATTTAAATCCAATTCTTCTGATTCTATATCCAAAGTTAAAGTAAGGAACCCGCTTCTCTTTGGATCTCTCGGATCTAGAATCCCAGCTCAAATCCGAGCTCTGTCACTTAACGTAAATCACTTCTCTCTGGGACTCACTTTCCTCCTCTGGAAAATGAGAGGGAAGGGTTGAATTAGACAATCCCTAAATTCTCTTCCAGCTAGATTGTAAGCTCTTTGAAGGCACGGACTCTCTTTTGCCTCTGTTTGTATCCCTAAGCCCTTAGCACAGTGCCTGGCACATAGCAGGGCTTGATCAGTATTTATTGAATTGAACCTAAATCTACAATGCTACCACTTAATCAATGTTTATTGAATTGAATTGAATTAAATCTAAATCTATAATGCTACCACTAACAGGGCTATTGTATAAGGGCAGCACAAGCAGGCCGAAGGTATAATCGCTGGTAAAAGGGAATAAAGGTCTCACTTCGTATTTTTACTACTTGTGTAATTTGTGTTGTCACTTCACTTCCCTAGGCCTCAGTTTCCTCTGTTGTAAAAAGACAGGAATGGACTAGATGGACACAGGGTCCCTTTCAGCACTAGATCTGTTGAACCTACAACCCTGATTTTTTCATGGGGGGGGCGGTACATTAGGGATGGGGGAAAAAGAGTGATGAGAAAGTGCAGGATCCCTGACAAGAGCATTAGGGAGGGTGATTTTTGCAAGACGCTGGGCAAAGGGGACACAACCCGTGGTAACACCATCAAGCTCTAAACGTCAGCCCACCACCCTAGCTCGCGGGCGGAGTGTGCGTGCCCACCCCCCCAGCTGCGTGCGCGCTCTCGCTCTCGCTCGCGCCCAGCGCTGCGAGGTCCGGGAGCTCGCGCAGGCTCGGGATTGGTTGGGGGCGGTGGGGGAGAGGAGCGCGCGCCGCGGAGCGAAGGAGGGGGACGCGCGTGCGGGAGGGCGGGCCGGCGGGCGGGCGGGCGGTCCCTCCGCTGATCCGTTTACCTGAAGGAGGAGCCGCCTCCGCCGCCTCCGCCGCTCGGGCTCCCGGAGACAACAGCGACGAGGACGACGACGACGAGGAGGACTCCAGAGGGTCTGAGGTGAGCACCGAGGAGAGGATCTCCCCAGCCCTGCTTGGAGGGAGAGGGGAGGGAGAAAGGAAGGGGACCGAGACGGTGCCGAGGCGAGCCCGGCGCGGGGCTGAGGGGCTGTGGGGCCGCCGCCGCCGCCGCCGCCCCCTCCTCCGGCTCCTCCGGGATCGCTGGTCTGCTCGCGGCCAAAACAAAAGCGCTCCGAGCCTCGTCCGGGAGGCGCGCGGCGGACTGTGCTCCCTGCCCGGGGCGAGCTGGAGATGCGGGCTCCGGGGGGATGCCTGCCCTCCTCCTCCTCCTCTCCTGTCGGGGTGCGGGGGGGCAGTCTGTGCCAGTGTCCCCGCCCTTGTCCTTTCTGAAGGGAGCGGGCGCCCCGGACCATCCCCCTCCTCCACCCTCCCGGGCCCCCCTGGGGGGCGGGGAGGGGGAGGAAGAAGGCGACGAGGACAATAACCTGAGGACCCCGGCTGGCTCCGGGGATTAGGGCTCTCTAGAGGCAGGAGAAACGTTCCCAGGTTTGCCTCCTGGAATATTTGGACCCTGACTGGGGGAAATGTCCCCATGCCTCAGTTGCCCCCTCCTTGCATTGGTCGTCTCTTTCTGGGGCGGGTGAGTTGTTGTTTGTGGCCAACAACTTAGCAGGTAGCGCCGGAATAAAAGGTTGCGGTTGATAAATGGCCGGTCGAATAATGGCCAAGCATCCCCAGTGGGCTGTTTAAGACCCTGACTCCTCTCAGAAAACTCCGGATCCCCCCTCCAGACTTCTTTTCTTTTTAGGCCTCCTTGAGTTTTTTTTTTTGTGCTGTGCTCGGATGGAGAAGAGCGTTAAGCCGAGGGAAACACCCTTTGTGGGCAATCAGTAAACATTTGGTGTATACGGTATACCCAAACCTAGGAGACCTTTTAAGTTCGCAAATAGCCTTCCCTGAAAGGGGAGTCCAGGTTTGTGGAGAGTGTGAATTTCGAATTCCAGTTACTCCAAGTGAGACAGGTGCATCAGGCAGTACAGCAACAAGAGTGAGCTCAGATGAGTACTCTGTAGAGATAGTCATGTAAAATCTAAGTTTATAGAGTCGAGTTTTGATAGAATCTTGGGTGTGTGTTTATAGGGCTTATTAGGTTCCTTTGCAAAGCTAGACTAATTGGGAAACAAGCATGACTTTAGGTATGTTACACCCCTTTTCTCCCCCTCTTTCACTGGTGGGGTGGTAACTATAGGATGGAAAAGTAAGGACGGGGGAGGGGAAGCCCTTAGTTCTACCATTAAATAGTAATTACCTTTCATTTCCTAATCAACCTTCCAAACCTTAAACATAACGATTCCCCCCTCCTGAAAACTCAGTCTCTACTCTCAAACCAAAAAATAAAAATATGTAGAGTCTGGAGAAAAGATTGGGGTTGTCAAGAGTAAAAGTCACTTAACCCTACCCCAAACCACTTGAAAGAAAGAACTTTGTAGTTGATCTTTTCTTTAGCCAGTCTCTGGTAAATGCATACATTAAAAAAAAAAAAGTGCTTTGCATTTACTTGAAGGGACCTGCTATAATTAATTCCACCCTTAACTTCCCTCAAACCCCTTAAAATCTGCAGTTCAAACGACTCTTCAGATCTTACGTGGGATCTAGATTGGGTTTATGATCTCATCCACTGGGTACCCTCTCCTAAGATGCAAATTACTATCCTTCCTTTCCTGTCCATAGAAACAATTTGGTGGTCCATCAGTCCCTTAGCATTTATTAAGTACCTACTATGTGCCAGGCACCGTGCTAAGGTCTGGGGGTACAAAGAAAGGCAAAACCAGGCAAAAGCTTGTGTTCAAGGAGTTCACAGTTTAATGGAGGAGACAATATGCAAACAGAATATATACAGGATAAATCGAAGAGGCTAGGAACTACTATTAAGGGGAATGGGAAAAGGCTTCTTGTAGAAGGTGAGACTTTAGCTGAGACTTAAAGGAAGCCAGGAGGCAGAAATGAGAAGGGAAAGAGTTTCATTAATTAAAGGACTTAAGGTTCTCCCAATTCCTTTCTGATTTTGTGCTAAAATAAAACACCCTACTAACATACAAAGCCCTATTGAATATATAAGATTTTATTTGAAATGCAATCGTAATTGTAAGCATTGCTCATGGTTCACTTATTTATTATGTGCAAGTTGCAGCTAAACCCAAAGTTAATTAAGACATTGTCCCAGCCTTCCATAGAATCTAGCTGGGGAAATTCAACACGTACACAAATATGTGATACTATATAATGACTACAGAACAGAATAGAATATAAGCATAATTAAGACAAGTGTTATTTGAGGTTAGAAGGTGGATGTTATGGTCCCATCAATTTAATTTGCTTTATTTCCAGCAGATTTTTACTTTTTCTTTGTTAACTTATGCTAATGGGGAGTTGGTCAGAGGTTGTGACTTTAGTAAGGAGGGAGAGGAGGAATTTGCATGCAATGTTAAGTGTAATAGCATTCATTTTTGCTTTTAAAAATTGAGGTACCAAATTGAGTTTTACATTGCTGCATTCTATTATTGTTTGCTTTTGAGGGAGTGTTACTTTACAAATCATAGACTATCTTCTTGTCTCTACATTCTAAATTTAGTTAGTTCAATCAAACACAGTTTTATTGTATCTACCATATGCAAGGCACTATGCTAAATGATGGGAAAACAAAGACAACCTGACAATCTCAGCCTTAAAGGAGGGATACAGCAAATAAGTAAACAAGTAAATACAAAGTAATTTTAAGGAGAATGCTAAATGAGGAGATCAGGAAAGGTCTTCTTTAGCAGGAAGTACCCTATGCTTTGGAAGAAGTAAGTCTATAAGGTCAAGTGAGGAAGAAATTAATTTTAGATATAAGGGATCACTTGTGGAAAGGCACAGAAGTGAGAGATGGAATATCATGTTAAAGGGAGTGTGGTATTGAGTCATTTTGACTGGATACAAGAATGTGGGAAGAGAAGGAATATGAATTCTGTTGCAAAGGAGGATGGGTGCCATATTTTGGAGGGCTCTAAGTGCCAGACTAGGGAGTAATCTTAGAGATAATAGGGAGCTACTGAAGATTTTTGAGTAGGGCAGTGACATGATCAAATGTTTAATTATAGGAATAGCAATTTGTCAGTGGTATGGAGGATGGATCAGAAAAGGGAGAGACTGAAAAAAAGGAAATTAGGAGGCTGTTAACAGTAGTCCTGGGGAGAGTTGGTGAGGGTCAGAATTAATGTGGAGGCTATGTGAATGGAAAAAAGGGCACACATATGACAGGTGTTGTAGAGGTAAAAATCATAAAACTTGGCAAGTGATTGGATAAAGGAAGTGAGGAAGAGGAGAATAAGCAAGGATAACTCCAAAGTTGCAAACTTTGGTGACTAGAAGTATGTCCTCAACAGAAATAAGGATATTTGGAGGGAAGATGGATTTTGGGGAAACAAGTATTGAATTTTATTTTGGACATAATGAATTTTAGAAGTCTACAGGGCATCCAGGTTGAGATGTCAAGCAGACATTGGCCAGCAGGCCTTGAATTCTAGAGAAAAATTAGTTGGATATATAAATATAAATAGCTGAACAGAGATGATAATTGCATCTGATGAAGTGAGATGAGATAGAATGATATACAATCTGATGCAGTGCTGATGAGTTAACTAAGAGAGTGTTGAGGGAAAGAAGAGAGGAGTGCCCAGGACACAACAATAAAATGTAATCCTTCAGCCTAGCCTATACTGTATACTCACACATACCACATTCCAACCAAATTACCCTACTTACTCTTTTTCAAGCTTAGAATTCTATCTTCTTTCTCCTGGCAAGGCAAAAATCAGGTACTGCCTACTCTGGGAAGCCTTTCTTGATCCAGTTAAGTTGTCCGTGCTGTCTCTTTTACAGTTTCCTCCATTTACTGTATATGTGTGTAAATATTGTATTCTGCCCTCCCCCTCTTCTTCTCTCCTTTTCCTCCTCCTCCTCAACTCCGCTTTTACACTAACACACACACACACACACACGAACACAAACATACAAACAAGAATGTAAGTGCCTTAAGGACAGGGACCATTTTTCATTTTGTTATTGTATCCTCAGAATGTAGCAAATTGCTTTGTCCATAGAAGGCATCTAATTAATGCCTGTTGAATAAATAGGTTGTTCCCTCCCCCCTTTTTTAAACATACAATTTAGGAATGACTTATACTTACAAATGGATGCTATATATATTCTGACCAAACCATAGTCCCAATGCTGATTCCATCTGATTCTGAACTTGTAGAATTTAAATAGTTGAATAGTTGAAGATTCAGGGAGGGATGTGTATGGCACATTCTATTTATAGGTAACATGATAGCCATGCAAGTGTTATTGAAAATTTCTTTTCCCCAGTGTTTTGCAATCTTGAGTTTATTGAACACTAACCTATTATATATAGTTTTGATTCTAATTCTAGTTTTGCATTCTGTTCCATTGCTCTATTTTACTTTTCTGTTCCATTACTCTATTTTATTAGTACCTAGTAGTTCTGCTAATTCTTGCTTTATAGCATCTTTTGAGTCCTGGCAGGACAAGTTTACCGTAATCATTTCTTAAATGGTTTTCTTTAGTATTCTTACATATTTGTTTTCTATATCAATTTTGTTGTTTTTTTTTTCTAATTCAGTGAAGTATTGGTTGTAGTTCACAAATTAATTTGGAAGATACTGAGTTTTCACTCTGTTGGCTAGATAGCCATGGGCATAAGCCTCCATTTATTTATTTCTGTCAAAATTGTTACAGCTGTCTTTATATAAATCTTGCTTGTGACTCTTAAGTATTAGTTACATGTTAGTGTTAATGGTATTTCTTTTTCAGTTTCTCCATATCTTTTCTTTAGTGATATAAAAATGCAGATGATTTTTATGGCTTTATCTGGTACCCTACCATCTTCAGTCATTTATTACCTCAATTTTTGATTGATTCTCTTGGATTTTTTTCTACACATGCAATCATATTATCCATGATTCAATATTTAATCTA